TGGTCGTATAGTAAAATTAGTTATTGTCCATTACAAATTAAGCTTATTTAATTAATTATTTTAATGAATTTATAATTGCACTGATAGTACATTATAATCAAGATCATCCAGTACAATGTTCAAAAAAATTAAAATATTTAATTACAGTCCCTCTTGTGTGTGTGCGCATGGTTGCTAAGCCAACACATACCTATTACAGATATAAACTCAGGAAAAAAAGTTATAGACACTTTGAGACATAAATTGACTCACACACTAACACAGCTCAGTCTTGAGCCTTGAATCCTTAGTCTTGCTTTGTGTATATTGTACTTAAAAGGGTATGTAATACACAAGAAAAACATATGCAGTGTATAAAGCAGGAGAAATTAAATAAACATCTAATAATATTTATAATCTCAAACTAGAAGGTTGGCTCCTGGATTGCAACAAGTTGTTATAAAAAATTCAAATTATTAAATTAAAATTTTTAGGTAAATCTCCTGTAAAGTAAATGGCTGATAGAAAAGGTTTCGTGTACAAAAGAAGATAATCAATTAAAAATAGGTAAAAGTTATTTTATAAAGACTTAATAGTAAATTATTTTAATGACTCTTTAGTTACATTTGGATATTTAGTATATTGAGTAATTATTACTATTGAAAGAACTGTGAAATCCGTTCGAGTGTCTATTCTTGTCTTACTAACTTGAGCATCAGGGCCGAATTATGACAAAAGTGGTATGAAAATCTAAATATGATATAATTCATGCTAAAAGAGCCATTGGTTGAATTATTAAATATAAAAAAGTTGATCTAATATTATTTTGAGAGTTAATTAGATGTTTTACTTTACTTCAAAACTCAAGATGGTTCCGAAGGGAATTTAAAAAAAGTTTTACCATGTGTTGTTGTCAATATTGATGCATTAGCTTAAATGATAACACTAATAACTCAATTAATTCAGGATTCAAGATCTAAGTGTTCAAAAAGGAATAGCAATAATATCTTAATATATAAATACCTAAAATTATTTCAGGATATATATAATCATCATTATTTATAGATATAGAGAGACCAATAGAGATAGAGAATTAGTTACTACAGAATGTGAAAATATTAAATAGTATGTTCTGCCCAGAAGAGAGAAAGGTTTCACCGACGATATTTACGCTTGATATTGAGGCGGAAAGATGTTGAAGAGGGAAGCATCATGATAAATTTGGAGGGATACCTAATATCCAAATTGAATGGGAAGAATTTATATAAGTTTTTAGAGATTGGTTCATGCCTCTTCCTGCAACGAGGCAAATGCAAGATAAGTTTTTGAGGTTGATTCAAGGCGATAGATTAGTAATACAAATATTATGTTGAATTCATTATCTTATTAGGGTATGTTCTTCAATTAGTTCATATTGAAGAATAAATCAATTTCATGATAATCGAGCATATATTGAGCAGTACCGAGCATGTACTGAGCAGTACCGAGCATGTACCGAGCGGTACCGAGCATGTACCGAGCGGTACCGAGCATGTACCTAGCGGTACCGAGCATGTACTGAGCGGTATCGAGCATATATTGAGCAGTACCGAGCATGTACTGAGCGGTACCGAGCATGTACTGAACGGTACCGAGCATGTACTGAACGGTACCGAGCATGTACTTAGCGGTACCAAGCATGTACTGAGCAGTACCGAGCATGTACTGAGCAGTACCGAGCATATATTGAGCGGTACCGAGCATGTACCTAGCGGTACCAAGCACGTACTGCGCGGTACCGAGCATGTACATTAGGCTTTTCAACAATGAAGAGAAGAAACGATAAAATCCACTTACAGGTCTTTGCTCTCTTGCATGCAAAAGGTGCTCTGTTTGGCCTTGATTGCGAACTTTGCCTCGGATGACCGCAGAAATCACGCAAGAATGAAGGAATTGGAAAGACGAGCTCTGCTTGGCCTCGACTCGAGCAGAGATGACGAAGGAACAGGAGGCGAAGGCAGCGGGCTCCGTTTGGCGTCGACTACGAGCTCTCCCGATCCGCCCTAGAAGAGTTCTTTCGTGGATCAGAAAAATAGGGTTTCTAGTTCACGGAAAAGGCTAAATAGAATGAACGATTTTATCATTTAATAACCGGACAAGCGTGTCTGACACGCGTGTCCGATTTTAATTTTAATTTTTTAAATTGCGACACTCCAATGCCGTGTCAGACACATGTCCATGCCGTGTCCGACGCGTGTCCGTGTCCGACACTGCATACTCTCTTTAAGAGGCGTGTCGGTGCATCATAGATGAATAGTAAAAGTAATTAAAAATAATTTAAATCAAAACTAATTTCATAACTTTCATACCATTACAAATTAGTACATACTTCTATATATCAATTTGCTCCATTTGATGAGTAAAACACGATGATATGATTTTTGATGATTTTTGTGAAAGTTGAAAATTTCAAAGTATATTGCATACAGCTGTTTTTATTCCTTCAAAAGTTCTCATCTTTGCTGCTTCATCTCCTTATAATAAACTTATCTCGAAAAACTGGGGTGTTAATCAATATTCACAGCTGTTTTGCAATTAATGGCACCCTCCTCCCCCTGAGTGGATCAAGATTAACATTGATGCTTCTTTGTTGAGATGTAATAAAGCAGGTGTTGGTGGAGTGGTTAGAGACAATAAAGGAAGATTCTTGTTGGCTTTTGGTTTTGGTTGTATGCATTGGAATATTGCACAAATTGAATTGTTAGAAACTAAATCATTAAAGAAGCTCGTACAAACATGGATGTTGGAGGCGGAGGGCATTATTATTGAAGACGATAATCGGAATGTTATCAAGTATCTTCAAGATTCTTTTTGCAAATCTACGTGGAAGGTGGGGAGCAAGAAGTGGATATTTTTTATTCTTAAAAGGGTTCAATAAGGTTTTATTTCAATGTTCTTATCGTAGTTATAATAAGTTAGCGGATTTTTGTGCTAATTTAGCTTTGTCTAGTGATTTTATTTGGGATGTAATTAGTGACAATAATATCCCTCCTTTTGTTTCTTTGTTAAGGAGGAATGTGATAGGTTTCCTATCGTTAAGTAGTTTGTAATTAGGTGTTTTCTTTTTAATGCAAGTTTCATTTCCTTTTAAAAAAAAGATAATTTCAAAGTATAATTGATTTGAACTAAGTTTGTACATTATCTTAAGAAAATTGTAATTGGGTATTGCATAGACTATCAAATTCATTGGGGTTTGAGCTAACTTAACTAATACAACAACAACAACATCAAGCCTTTATCCCATTATGAGGGGTTGGCCAACTTAACTAATAATCCAATTAAATTAATATTCTAATTGATGATTTTTTGCAATGTAATAAGCTTACCCCCTTCTATGTCCTTGAATATTTTTTGTTATTCAAGACAATCACTGCCATTTCCATAACTCTTACAAGACCCCCAATGCCCTTCAAACTTTAAAATCAAGGGCATTCAATTTATCCCCCAACTCCTTTAAAATATGCACCATATCTTCAATGACTTTATTAGCCCAGGCATTTTATGAATAGACTCAATTATTTTCAACCACACTAAGGTCGGCATTAATGACATCTCCTACCCTACTCCATCTCATCAAACAATGAAGTTGTCTTTACATCAACCTCCCATTTAATTCATTATCATTGGCCTTCTACCCATGGTCAATCTATATTGGGCGCTTGTTTTGCCTTTGCTACTTATCTTACTCTAACATTGTTCTTTTTTACCCCTTTCATCTATCAAGGCTAAATTTTGTATGTATAGTGCACATATTCACTTTCCTCATAACCAATTTTAAACCTATATAGGTGTTCCCAGAATCTCTCTCTGTTAGCACCTATGTTTCCATCTCTACTTCCCTCCATACAAAAAACAACCTAGGCCACCTGCAAACCTTGCCAAGCTTTATGATACATTTCTTTTTAGATAGAGGTAGACCTAAAAAGACTTTATTAGAAAATATTAGAAATGACCTTTCTTTACTAGATTTGGATGATAATTTGACTTTTAACAGGACATAATGGAGAAAAATGATTCATGTAGCCGACCCCAGATAATGGGATAAAGGCTTGTTGTTATTGTTGTTGTACAAAACATCATAACATCATGACCCTCAAAACACTCTGCTAACTATTTAAATCACTGCAACGTTTTGTAGACAACTACTAGATAACCAAATTTCGATAGATTACAAATCAAAAAAATGTTCAAACAACCAAACCAATCGACAAGTGAAGAGTGTTGTCTAAGGTTATAATTTATCTTCATTTGAAGCTAGGGCCTTCTACTACCTTGAATTAGATAAGCATAGAAAAGAATGTGAGAATGAGAAATTAATGGTTGATGAGATTTCCTAGCAATTCTTCTAAGTATGAGAAGCATTTAAAAAAAGTGTTCTCATGGAAGCATTAACAAGGATCTTAAAAAATATTGATGAGAACAAACCAAAGAGTGCATGGTTCTCCATTGATGAGTTCCAATAATAACCAATAAGTTCTCAAATTCAACCTAATTCCTTTTAAGTCTTCTTCATTAAAACAAAGACAAATTAGTATAAAGGATATCATAAATCCCATGCATGAACATAAACAAACTTGGAAAGTGAATGATAATTTAGTTCCCAGCTGGGCTTGTTTATCAGTTTAAATATAAGAAAACGAAAGAGAAATAGATTCCATAAACTAATCAACATTGTCTAAGATAAACTAATCAACAATGCGCCTAAAAGGAATCAAGTGTAATTTGAAAAATACCCTGGTCACTTGTCACAGCCGTAGAAAAGAAAATTTGAGAAGGTATTCAATTTCATCATCTGCTAAAGAATTCAGACAAAAAGTTCATGGAATACCACAACTTGAATAGGGAGAAAAACCAGGGTCCATACACAAACTTGTTTCTTCAAGTAATTTCTTGTTTAGTAGTCAGAATAAAATAATACTAAAAATAGTGCATTTTTTCTAACATTAACAAAAAAAAAAAAACTATAGTCTGCAATGACTAACCATCATTACTGGAAAATCTCTTTCGATCTTCACAATTTATCAGTCAGAAACAGAAGACCGGAACACTGAAGCTACTCCACAAAGAGAGCAAACGATAAATAAGGAAGAAATCCAACATTTAAGAAGAAAGGGTAAGGAAATTTCATGGAAATGTGAGTAGACTTGGACAGATCAAGCACTGTATGATGTTTGCGGAATAAAGCCTTTTATGCAGCTTTGCGGAGGAACTGGGCCCCTTTTCCCACAGCCGTATAACACTTTTACATTTCTTTTAAATCAAAAAGCAGAGACGAAAGGCGACGCAGAGTCGGTCAAGTCAATCCCTTTTCCGCGGTTAGCAGCATACCACAATAATTGAAGCGAAGGGTCCGTGGCTGGACTCTTCACTTCTAACTCCTTGAGGCGGCTCGGCAGGGCCCGGCCATGGTTGGAAATCATGACTGCCATGCGCGGAGAAATGGTAAGAAGATTAGAGAGAATAGATATTGAGAGACTGATAGAAATCCAAACACAATGGAAAACCTCCGTGATCATTTTATTTAGGATGAATTATTGAATTTCTAAATCCCTGATCAACTATGCCGAATTGCCGAGTGATTATAATGGATAGAGTTCAAAATAAGGTAATCAATATTGAGTTCAAAACATGTTAATCAACATCACATTTATAATTGAAGTTTTTTTTTTTGGGAAATTTAGGGGCACTATTACTTGAAAAGTAAAAACAATTACAAGCAAAGAAAAAATATAAAAGAAGAACAGCTCAACATAAGAAAAAATACAAAAAAAAAAAACTTACGTGGGCAAAAGAAACCACAACTATACCACCCTAATTATCCAAAAAAATTGAAGGACCAAAATGTGATAATAGATGCAACGCATCTAGGACTCAGGCTGCTGACCATATAGAAATACTCGATAGGATCGCAGAAATGGAGATCCCCTGGTTGCCAAAGAAAGACCGTCCAAAGGGGAAAGAGGACCAGCAGATATCATCATCATCCTCAAAATTCCCGCAGGGACCGAAGCAGCTTTCCTGGCAACCCATAAGGTCGCCAAGGAGAAAAACCAGCCAATAAACCTCGAACAGCATCCATATCCATATGCAAATTTCCAACCATAAATGAAAACTTCCAGCAGCACCAAAAATACCTTTCATCCGTAAAGCATAACTTCCAAACCATCTGAATATAGCAATCCCCACGGCCATGAGATAAAAACAATGCCAGCACAGTCAAAAAAATTCAGCATATTTGTGTTTGATCCCATCAATATTTTTCCAATGCTTCACCTTTACTTTAATAATAGATTTAATACTCTCAATAACCCCATAAGGAGACATCCAGGAGTTAGAAAACCTCCTATTATTTCTCTCCCTCCAAATATGATAAATTGCACAAGCCAATACCGAGAAACAGAAATTTTTCTCCACAACAGAATAAGAGAAAGTAGTGTTCAGCCAATCAAAGGCCAAAAACAGATTTGGCCTAAACAGAAATTCCATAAAAATAGGCAGAATTAACAGCAACACAGAGAAGGAGAAATCACATTCGAAAAAAAGGTGCTGAAGAGTCTCCCTGTGAGATTTGCAGAAGGAGCAATCTGCAGTGACATTAATGCCAATCCTGATAAGAGTATTCGCACACTTAAGCTTGCCAATCAAAGCCATCCAAGTGTAACAGGCAAACTTAAGGGAAGCTTTTTTAAACCAGACAAAATCATGCCAGTCAACCAACACTAAATTGGAATAAAATTTGGAAGTGAAATCCTTAAAGGTAGGCATGCTTGTGCCATCCCACATAATAACCGGCTCCTCAAAAATGGCAATATTCAAAATCTCAGTTTTAATCTCCAAAGGGAAGGCATCAGGTAAACACCAAGCACCATCAGAAATAAAATTTCCCACCACAGCAGAAGATAGCCTAATATCAGAAATAAAATCCCCCAATAGTTTACCATTAAACCAAGGATCCCAAAGGAAAGAAAACCTACTATTTGGACCAATAAAAAAAGAGAAATAATGCTTAAAACCCAAAGCATGAGTGCAAATCATTTTCCAGAAGTTGGAAGAGGACGGTGGAGCAGATTTCCATGGAGATAGGAAATTAGCTCTAAACCACTTCCCCACCAGGTTGTCAACATTATATATTTTCCAAATGAAAGAAGCAGCAGTACCAAAATAAAGGGCATCAAAGGAATGAATTCCCAAACCACCATGAATTTTCGGCTTAGTAATAGAGTTCCAAGCAATTAAATGCATTTTCTTTGCTTCAGTGTCACCATGTAGTAAAAACTTAGAACAAAGCTTAGAAATAAGAGTTCTGCATCTTTTATGTATAATTGCTCCTCTAATCCAATAGGCTATCGTATCAGCAATCGTGTATTTTAAAAATTGAAGCCGACCTGCAAAAGACAAAAACTTAACTTTCCAACCCGCAAGTAGAGCAGAAATTTTGCTCATAAGGGGTTGGAAGTGAGAAAATTTGAGTCTGGATGGGGAGATGGGAAGACCAAGATAGGTGAGGAGGACATTGGTGTTCTGGATGCCAAGAAGGTCTGCAATAAGAGAGGGGGCAGTGACATTTTTTGAAAAAATAATAGAGCTTTTGGTGGGGTTAACAGCTAGGTTTGAGGCCTCAGCAAACCGATTTAAGGAAAGTAAAAGGAACTGGGCATTGTCATGTTCAGCTTTCCCAAAAACTAACAGATCATCAGCATACATCAAGTGGTTAACACTAACCCCATTACAAGTGATACCTTGGAAAATATTGGGATGAAGGCAGTGAGATAAGCCATCCATGGCAATACAAAACAAGAGAGGGGAGAGGGGGCAACCCTGTCTAAGACCAGAAGAGGACTTGAAAAAGCCTTCAAGAGAACCATTGATGCTGATAGAAAAATACACATCAAAAATACAGCATTTAATCAATTTGATGAAGTGATCAGGAAAGCCTTTAAGTTTTAAGCGGTGTAACAGAAATTCTCTAGAAAGAGAGTCAAAAGCTTTCCGAATGTCCAACTTAGCACAGAAAAATTTGATATTAGCATTGAACTCCCTCAACAACTCAGCAGCCAAAATAACATTATCAGAGGCACAACGCTTGCCAATAAACCCTACTTGACTTTCATGAATTATAAGAGGAAGCACCTCTTTAAGCCTATTAGCAAGCAACTTGGCAACCACTTTGTAGAACACATTGCAAAGGGAAATGGGCCTGTAATCCGAAATATGAGAAGCATGTGTATTTTTTGGAATTAAGGCAATGGCAGTAGCTTTAGTGGCTCTAAGAAGATAAGCATTGGAAAAAAACCATTTAACAGCCCTACAAAAAATAGAACCAATCACATGCCAAGTTTTCTTATAAAACTCAAAAGAGTAACCATCCGGCCCAGGAGCAGCATCCGATTTACCAGAAAAAACAACTTTCTTAATCTCCTCATCCATCACCAAATTGAGAAGCATAGGGTAAAGCTCAGCAGGAACCGTCTTACCAACAGGAATATGAACATCCTCCCACCCCATAGAGATCGGGGAGTTAAATAAAACCTTGAAATGATTAGTAATTGCTAAAGAGATATTTGAATGAGTAGTGAAGGAGCCATTTTCAGTAGTAATTTCCCTAAGAAAATTTCTGTTGCTTCTAGCCTTAATCTTAGCAAATAAAAAATCCAAGTCATCTTCACCCTTCAAAAGCCAATAAGTCTTAGCACGCTGAGAAATCCAAGCCGACCAAGCAGATTGAATATTAGCCAATTGTTCATTAATCTCTTTAAGAGAATTGTTCAAAACCGGGTTCAAAGGATTAGATTGAATCTCTTCTAGACAACAATTTTGAGAATATTTCAAATCCTTGATAGCATTACTAAGAAAATTGGAGGAAGACCAGTTTTTCTTTTTAAGAGCATTCTTAAGATGCCTAAGGCTCTGATAGAAATCAGATATAGGACTATTCTCATGACGTTTCGAAAATGCTTGCACCAAGTCCTGCCAGAAAGAATCAAAATTGACCCAATAATTTTTAAATTTGAAACGCACCTTAGGAATCTGAGAAACAGAGTCCAAAAGAATGAGAGGAGAATGGTACGAACCCCCTCGGGGGTTCAATTTTGTAGTAGAAATTTTGATAACGAAGCAGGAACTCAGAATTCACCATCATCCTATCCAGTTTGATATGAATGGTCATGTCCACCCTCTGATTAAACCAGGTGTAGAAAAGGCCAACCGAAGCAAGGTCCTGAAGACCACAGTTGAAAACACATTTGTAGAGTTCCCCCAGAGAGCTTTGAGTCGGATTATTTCCCCCAGCTTTTTCATAATCAAAACGATAACAATTAAAATCACCCAAAATGATCCAAGGAAGGTCAATAGAAGGGGCAACATTCCGGATATCATCCCAAAGAACTTTCCTGTCATTCACATTATTGGAGGCATAGACAACAGATAGCTCAAAAGAAGCAGCCCCCAAGAGAAGGAACCATGGATGAGTTGAGAGGAAGAGAAAGAGGGGATAAAAGAAACAACAGCTTTGTCCCACTTGAGCCAAATCCTACCCGGATTAGAAAAACAGAAATTATTGTAACTATCCTCCAAATCAAACACTTTATGCCGGTGCAGAAACCACGGGTCTAAAGTAGACTGAATAGGAACTTTTGCTTCATGAATTGCCAGAAATTTGAGACAATGAGAAGTAACTAAATCTTTGCATAGATGCACTTTGTCAGGGTTATTAAACCCCCTCACATTCCAACAAGCTAATGGAGAAGCAGACATTAATAATGGGATCCTTTGCCTTTTTGGAAGTTTCAGGCTTAACTTTTTTGACTTCTTTGGGGGATTTGGATTTGACTTTAGAATTATGAAGACGGTCTGAAGAAGAACAATCCGTTGAGATTTGAGTCGTAGAAGAAGAGGGGAGCTCTGCATCAGCAGTATCATCGTTTCCAGGAGGGTAATCAAGAGGAGGAAGCTCAGCATCATAAGCTTGAAGGGAATCAAACTTATTTGCAGTAGGGATTTTAGGAGGGGGGATAGAGGAAGGTGGAGTAGACTGCTCCGACGAGGAAGCAACATCCATAGGAAGGTTTAAATTGGGTAATGAAAGGTCTTTAGTAGAGTTGGGGAGCACAGCAGGCGACTGTTTAGGTTCAGGGGACAAATTGACAGGTGTATTAATAATAGCCTTGGATAAAATAATAAGATGTGCAATCCCATCCAAGGGCACAAGAGAAGCCTCACGAGGGGAGGGGGTTTGGAAGTAGGGAGAGGTTTCCGCTGATTAGGATGTCTGCTGGAGCTACGACCTCTCGAACGAGCAGAAGGTGGGTTGATAGGTTTTGGATTAGGGTTTGAGGAACAAAGAGAGAACGGGTGAAAAAGGGATCCACAGCCTTCACAGGGAGATGGTTTCCAGTCATAGTGAACTTTGAGATTCATGTCTTATCCTTCAATTTCGATGGGTATTTCATTAGGAAGAGGAGAGTTTTTATTGATGTGAACACACACCCTAGAAAAGGTGAGTCTGGTATGATTGGCAGTGAGCGTGTCAACAGAAATCGGAACCCCGATGAAACTAGCAATCCGGGAGATCCCTAAAGGTGTCCACAGCGCCAAAGGTAAATCCATAGTTTTTATCCAGATGGGTATAGTGGCATTTTCATCCCTAACCGGCTTAAACTTTAGGGACCAGCGCTGCAAGATGAATGGCTTCCCCAACAAAAACCAGGGCCCCCCATTCCACACTATTTCCAAATCTTCCAAAGCCGAAAATTTTAAGAGAAAGAACCCATCAGCCAGAAAGGAGAGACATCGCACCTTTGATGCTCCAAACCTTTTTCATAGCCGAAAGCAGTTGTTCGTAGTAGGGGCGAGGGCCAATTGAGTAACCCACCAACGAAAGGTTCCAGAAATTAGCACCTTCCAAAAGATCATTGCCTCTAAAGGAAAGCTTCGGAGTTGGGGAGACGAAGGAGACGGGGAAGTTGGTCGACTTAACAGCTGGAGTTGAAACATTATCCGCATAGGAACCAGAATGAAGCACAAAAGGTTGTCCCTTAGAAGAGGGTGAAGAAAGGGGAGGAAAATACTGAGTAGCAAGCTCCATGAAAGCAGGAAAGCCTCTTCCCCTAAGGGAAGAGATGAAGGCGGCGGGAAGGAAAGCAAAACCCTAGCAGAGCACTTCCCTCCACGAAAAAAAATCGCTCAAAGCTAAACAATTTTATAATTGGAGTGACTTGTAATTCTTCCCAGGAAAAATCTCAATATTTCTTAAATACATCTTTATATTTTTTAAAAAATAAATCTCAACCCTACACCTGGTGTTACGCTTCATATTCTTCAAGCCATCTGTTCTCCGAGAAGTTATACTATGAGTCCGAATTGTAGCTCTACATCCGGAAGTCAATAAAATTATTACGTGTGAATTGCCGACGTGGATATTCATCTATATTTTGTTTTATTATATTTTACTTTTTTTTGTCTTGCAGCCCGACCCGACCCAAAAAAAATTTCACCATTCAGTTCAATTTAGGGTTGGCATTTCTTTTTTCAAAATTTTAGCCGCGAAGCTCCACAATATATAAAGCTTTTCATTAGCTTAAGAAAAATTTTGTAAAAGCTGAGAAAGAACGAACAGAAAAACTGCCTATGAAGATGAAGACTGGTATGGATGAAGGTTCTTCTTACGAACATGTAATATTCACACAGGACGCGGAGGCCGAAAACCGATATGCTGACGTCCAAGAAACAGAACAATTGAAGTTAAAAGAAGTGCAGCCAGAGGGAAAGCTAGGTTTATGAGATGTAGGTTTCAACTTATCGATAAAATTCAACTCCTTCCAAGTTTTCGTTGCAATATGTAGCCATTATTCACATTTTAAAATTTGATGCATATTACTTCACATTTATCTGCATTTTTAAAAATAACACACATTTGTGAACACTAAAACTAATGCATATTTAAAATTAATGTTCATTTTTAAATTTTAGATGTTGCATATTGACTACATATTTATTGTGTATTTCTGAGATTTAGATGTATTTTTGTGCATATTTATTATATTTGAATTTCTTATTTACTCCATATTTATTGCTTATTTATTGTATTTTTTATGCATTTTTACTGCTTATTTACTTTATATTTAGTGAGTATTAATATTGTATTTAAATCATATTTACTACTTATTTATTATGTATTTACTAAGTATTTATTGTGTATTTATTACGTATTTACTGCATATAAATATCATGAAGTGTTTGATAATGACAAAGAGGAATACAAGGCTTACTGTAATAATGCACATAATATTAGTTTTAGTGTTCACAAGGATCATCACAATTACTGGCCAAATTCTAAAAAAATAAAATATATGGGCTTTGTTTGTTCAAAAGTTGGTTTCAAGAAGATGTCTAATCTTAATTTCTAAATGAACTATCGCAAATCAGATACCATAACTAATTCTCTAACTATGATTAGGTTTACAATGAATGAAGTTGGATATTAAAAGGTGAAATTTTTTATTAAAAGTCACAATCATGATTTATCTAGGCTAGAAGACTGACATCTTCTTAAATAATGTAAGAATCTATGTGATGATAAAGTTTCAGTTCATAAATTAATGATATAAGCCATAACAAATACTACTGATGCATTTTCCTATCTTGTTGATGAAGTTGGAGGTGTTCAGAATATTGGATTCTCTAAGAGGGATGCATATAACTTTATTCAAAAAGAGAGAATATTAAATATTAAATTTGGGACATTAATATTTTGATTTAACTATTTAAAAATTGTCAAGTTGATGACAATATGTTTGCTTGGGATGTCCAAATTGATGAATTTGATATATTCTTAATTTTTTGGGTTAATGGGATGGGTAGGATAGATTATGACTACTTTGGAGATGCGGTAATTTTTTATACTAATTATAGGCTTAATAAGTATATTTACTATGTGCATCATTTATCGGGGTCAATAATCATTTCTAAATTTTTTGCTTGGGGTGACTTTTTTTTACAAGAGATGATTGAATCATTTATGTGTTTGTTTATAACTTTTTTGTGAATAATAGGTGATAAACATCCAAAAATAATATTTACAGATCAAGTCCAGACAATGGCTAGGGCCATAAAAGTTGCATTTTCTCACACTCACCATAGACTGTGTTAATGGCATATCCGTAAAAAAGCTCCATCAAAAGTGTCATGCTTTAATAGCAATAACAAAGTCAAAGGCCTTTTCTATAAGTGTTTGAGAAAATGTAACTCTGGGGAGGAGTTTGAAAAAAAATATGGGCTAAAATGATCATAGAAGGGAGCCTCCACAATCATGTTTGGTTGAAGGATATTTACAGGATAAGGAATAAGTGGTCAATGGCATTCAATAAGGATTATTTTAATATAGGCATTCTATCCACACAGCGTAGCAAGTTTACTAATAATATGTGGTATGACATGTATAAGCCCACAAGTTTTATAACTCATTTTTTTCATTATGCAGATAATGTGATGAGAAATTGGCATCGAAATGAACATAATGAGGATTACAAATGCAGCCAATTCAAAATAGAAACTGTAATAAAAAGTAGCCCAATATTAAAAACAAGCTACTCAATTTTATTCAAGGAAATTATATCCATTTTTAAGAATAATTTTTACAAGGTGTGGGCGAAATGAGTGCAGAGTTTGTGTCATGTAATTCATCAAAGTTTTTTTCTTTTGTGCATAGAATAAGGAGGATCATTCTAATTCTTAGGTTGTTAATTTTGATATACAATATTGAAGCATTAAATACACCTGCAATAAGTTTAAGATGATGGGATTGTTGTGTTTTCACTGCACTAGAGTTTTGAGGCAAATAGATATTATGTAAATCTCTGAGAAGTACCTATTATTGTGATGTTCAACAACAGATTGAAAAAATATATATTTATGTCACATATTAAAAGGATCTTCTCATAATAATTCTAAAGGAAATAGTGGACTCATATTCAAAAATCATATTAGCAGGTTTGTATATCAAATTACACACAAATGCATGTGAATGAGGAGGCTCGTCAATACATGAAATATCGATTTGATTTTTTATAGGAAGAGAAAGAACCATAATTTTATACAGGATGGCATAATAAAAGTGAAAGATCCTCTAAAGCGTAGGCCTAAAGGCATATCAAATGCAAGGTTAAAAAGCCACAGGAAAAAGAAGAAGCCAAAGTATATGATTTAAGTTCCTGACTAATTTCTTTTCATTACATATTATGATATATTATAACTATCTTTTCTTGCAATTAATACTTTTTAATCGAGAAACTACTCGTAAAGGAAAACATAACACAAATGTCTTCACCTTAAAAGTAGTGTAATTTAATAAGCATGCCCAAATGCTTCACCAAGAAATTCATAACCGATGTACCCTCCAATCAGCCATTAGCTAAGTACATGATGATGATGATGATGATGATGATGATGGATATTATTGATTCTGAGCAATAAATATAATAAATTTATTGGTGATGATTAATTATTAAAGTAAACAATTCATTATAATTAACATTATTTCTAAAGTTAACTGTTAAATAAATCTTTTTTTTATAATTATTTAACATGGTGGAATTTTCTGTGTATTTATTTTGTATTGCATATTTGATGCATATATACCGAGTATTTTAATATATACTACATATTTAATGCGTATTTACTGTGTTTCGGGTTCTTTGTGATTTTTCACCATGGAGAAATCCTAAATCATTTTTTTATTTAATGATCATATAGTAATGCATGATTTATTATTTTCTAATTGTTGGGTTTCACAAATCTGGTACGTATATCTTTGTTTTTTGTTTTCTTGGGGGCCCTGAAATGTGTAATAATTGGTGTTTGATGTGGTTGAAGGGGGGTTCGCCTTCTATTGATAGTCGTTTATTGTTGTCTTTATGTTGGTACGTGCATCATTTTTTTGTCTTGCTTGATAGTGATTGTGGTGGTTGAAGGGGGTGTCGTTTTATTCAATCTCTCTATTGATGATCCTTTATTATTGTTTTTTCCACTTTTATTGTTTCCACGCCATTTGTTGTTTGTTCTACGTAATGTATGTTCTTGATAGGGCTGAGACTGTCACAATTGACAAGAATAACATGATAGTGCAAGTAAGTAAATAACTACTCTCGTATTTTCTACGTAAGTGATAGTGCATAATTAATGTGTAATTAGAATTTTTTGTGTATTTACTATGCATTTTATGCATATTTACTTTCCATTTTCCGCATATTTACTTTGATTTTTAGCTTATTTAGTGAGCATTTTTTTTTGCATGTTTACTCCTTTTTATTAAGTATTTACTGTGCACTTTCTACGTATTTATTGCACATATTATGAGAATTATGTATTTGATGTGTATGTGTTGCGTATTTGATATGTATATGTTGCGTATATTCTTAGTATAAGATGCATACTTACTATGTATCAAATACATATTTGGTGAGTATACTTTGTGGAGAAATACTTAATAAATTATTTTTTTAATGATCATATTGTCATACATGTTTTGTTGTTTTTTTTTTTTTTCTAACTAAGTTGGAGAACGAAGAAGCAAGAAGAAATCATCCAACAAAAATAAATATCTCAACCAGGAATTACCTCCAAGGTTGCTAACAAAGTGATAACAATCCAGGTAGGGAAGGAAGGTTGCCTCATTATTGTCTAGAAAAGCCTCAGTAGATGAATATAATTATTCCCAAAAGCAGCAATAATAGTAGAAGAAACAATATATATAATGGAAGTTACTATCACCAAAGGATGAAAGACACGACAAAAAAAAAACATAAAGAAACCAAAAGCACCCGGATTAAATGCATTATAACAATATAAAGCAAAAATTCAAAATAAAAGACTTAAATACCAAGCATTGTTCTTAGAAGAAGGGATCATCGGCTCATAGCTTTTTATTTTTTGAATTATTTTGTAACTCACTCGAGAAGTAGTGAGCTGAAGGTATTTTAAGGACCTATAAACCTTTTTTATCAATGCTTAGGATCGTAGCATGTTTTAAAAAAAAAATACATGCAAACAACTATTTACTATATATTCCATGCGTATTTGATGTGTAAT